CACTGTGGTGGAGCAATAGGGATGTAGACGACACACCCAAATATTTTTAGATGGGAAATATTAGGTTCCTGACCAAAAATCGTTTGCAAGGGGGAAATTTCATGATAACTTGTTGGCCTGATGCGAATTAATGTTGCCGCATGCAATATAGCATGTCCCCAACAAGAAATCTGGCAAGCTTGTTTTCATAAGCCATGGTCTTGCAATAAGTTGTAAATGCTTAATAAATGATTCTGCAAGACCATTTTGTGTATGAACATGTGCTACAGGATGTTCAACATCAATCCCAGTGGACGTACAATAGTCATTGAAAGTTTGTGAAGTAAATTCACCAACATTATCTAGACGTATTTTCTTGATTGGAAAATCAGAAAAATGTGCTCGTAGTCGAATCAATTGGGCAAGTAATCTAGCAAACGCTAGGTTGCGAGTTGATAGTAAGCACACATGTGACCATCTAGTTGATGCATCAACTAAAACATAAAGTATCTAAATGGTCCACATGGTGGGTGAATTGGCCCGCATATATCACCTTGTATAAGTTCTAAAAATGTAAGAGACTCACTCCTTACTTTCACAGGTGATGGTCGTATAATCAACTTGCCACGAGAACATGCAACACATGGTGCATCTTCAAACTGATAAATTTTGTGACCTTTCAATGGATGTCCACATGTATTGGCAATGATTTTTTGCATCATGACCAATCCGGGATGGCCTAACCGGTCATGCCAAACTATAAAATTATCAAGATTTGTAAACTTCTGGTTTACCGCTGCATGTGTTGCAATTGTACTAATAAACGTGTAGTACAACCCAGAAGAAATAGCAGGCAATTTCTCCAATATGCATTTCTTATCAGAGACCATATTTGTTATCATAATATACTCTTTATTCTCTTCTTCCTTTGTCTCAATATGATATCCATTTCGACGAATATCTTTGTAACTAAATAAATTTCTTTGAGATTTTGAAGAGTATAAATTCATTGATATATACTTTGGTTCCTTCTGGTAACAATACACTAGCTCTTCTGGAGCCTTAAATTAAATTTGTACTTCCGGATATAGTACTAACATTTGCTTCTCGCATTTCAAGATGAGAAAAATATTTCTTATCCTTCAAAATTGTATGTGTTGATGCACTATCAATAAGACACACATCATGGTTTTTTATCTTGGTGCTAAGCATGAGAATATTCATTCTTCACAAAAGATAGAAAGTAAATCAATATAAGAAAATATCTCCAAATAAATACAAAAATATAAATTAAACCACCGTCGGATTATAAAGAGAAAATTATAAAAGTGACACATTAATAGGAAAAACACACTCAAGGAAAATGACAAAGAAAGTAAAATTTCAAATGGGAACCTAAAATTTTCACTTGTGAATAAAGCGACAAAGAAATAGAAATTCAAACAGAAATCCTAGACTTTTCACTTGCGAACATACCCGTCACCAATCAAGTGATCTATTTTTCCTTCTGGGTGGGCAAAGAAGTCGGCCACATCTAGATGAGTAGCATCATTATACTCTTTTCCTGAATCATCTTCCTCAAAAATACAATTGATTTTTATCTTTTTCCCTTTCAATGATTCTTGGTAGAGGTTAACCAAGTGTTTTGGTGTACGACAGGTACGAGACCAATGACCTTTTCCACAACAACGGTAACACACATTTTCGACGTGTTTGTCACCATGAAGTCATGAACACTTTGTTTCTTGCTTCTTCTACCATCATTTTTTCCTCTTATGGGAAAAATGAGCTTTTGGAACTTTCACCACGGCCACGACCACGGCCTCGAGCATGACCACGCCCACATCCTCGTCCATGTCCACGTCCATGTATTTGCCCATAAGGATATTGGGTGAACGTCGCCGCATTCGCTTCTGGGAATGGGGCGGCACCAGTAGGACGAGATTGGTGATTTTTCATCAAGAGCTCATTATTTTGTTCAACAACAAGGAGACAAGAAATCATCTCAGAATATTTCTTGAAACCTTTCTCACGGTATTGCTGATGCAGGAGCACATTAGATGCATGAAAGGTGGATAATGTTTTTTCCAATATATCTTCATCGATAATATTTTGCTCCACATAACAGTAGTTGTGAGGTTATTTTGAATAGCTCAGAATTATAATCACTCACAGATTTAAAATCTTGTAACCTCAAATGCATCCAATCATAACGAGCCTTAGGAAGAATCGCAGTTTTTTGGTGGTCATGCCGCTCTTTCAAATTAGTCCATAGAATAAGTGGATCTTTTATCGTAAGATACTCATTCTTCAATCCCTCGTGGAGGTGATGTCGAAGAAAGATCATTGCTTTAGCTTTGTCTTGATCGGATTCTTCATTACCCTCTTTAATCGTGTCTCCAAGACCGTTGGCAGCTAAATGAATTTCAACATCTAGCACCCATGATAGGTAATTCTTTCCAGTGACATCAAGAGCCACAAACTCAAGCTTTGAAAGATTCAACATACTATCATAAAAATATACACAAATTAAATTCAAAATTCAATAAATAAATATAGATTGCTATCAAGAAAAACGACTTATTCGACACACATCACATAACCCCTACATTCTTACAATCAATATACATGAATGTGAGAATGAATGTGAAATTTGAATGGGTTGAGTGGTTACATGTAACACCCAATAGTGCATATAATGTAGTGGTCAATGGTCATCCATATTAATATTTACATAATATCTTATTAAATATATTTTTAAATGAATGATGATAGTAATATATATATAAATAAAAAGAAAAGGTCTCACAAAAAAAATTAAAAAGAAAAAGAAAAGGGTCTCAATTGTCTCGGGTAGCTCATCACTAATTCACTATAAGTCTATAACTTACCTTCACTTCTATTTGTTGTTCTGGTCTTTTTTTTTTTTTTTGTTTTGTTTTGTTTTGCAGCCTATGTGCTTCTTCATGTTGCAAGCTTTCCAACGATTTAGAGAAGTCGAATGTGAAATTGAGAGTTTTCGTCGATCGCCTACGCTCATGTTTTTTTTCATTCTATGTTTTCAGGCGGTAAAAGAAGGTGACCGGAGAAAATACCCCAACAAATGATCTTTTTTTTTTATCCAAACAAGATAAATAAAATTAAAATACCATATTGCAACTTCAAATAACTCTGAAATACCACAATCTAAAAAATACATTATTTATTCACAAATTAGTTAATTTGTTCCCAACACAAAATGATTATAATTTCCTTCCCCCAAACTATGGGGTCGTTTGGAAGTCCAAACGACCCCTAAATGTATGGACTATGGATAGGGATTTGACGTGGGTGAACTTACTCGGGTGAAAGTCTTTGGATGCGGTCGTGACCGTGTGCGTGTGGGCATAATATTAGCCACCTTATTAGATTAGGGCTTTTGGTAATATTCCCATTGATGGGTTGGGCTCACAATTAATATCCAGCCTTCGTGTAATCATGTTTCTTCATATGTTGCTGATTTTCTATAAGTGGTACCAGGACCAACATAATTGACATTATTTCATAGATTCACAAATTTGGAGAGTAGTAAGTCGAGATATGAGCACATTATAAAGAAAGAAAAGCGACAGCTTTCAAATTCACATATATGATTTGATTGCCTTACAAAGAAAATTCTGCATAATTATTTGATTTTCTGATGATACTTTGATGCAAATTCTTTTATTCAACAAGAATATGCATATTCCCAATTCCCTTCTTCATGTTAGCTTGGAAGTTTGGAGAAGATGGTTTGCATTATTCGTTACTGGTTTTGTATTGTTGCAGATGCAGAGATGCAAAGCCAAGTCACAGATGTAGCGTGGGGGAAAGCAGTCTTTTTTAGACCTACACGGTACGCTTGGACATCCTCCTTCAAATGCATAGCTATTCTTCTTCTCACCTGCAGTACATACCCAAATGTTATTTTAATTATAAGTTTGATTTATTCGAGATAAATTTCTATTGATTGTGTTAATTCATAATAACAAAACAAGAAAAACAAAAACATGGAACTTCATATCTAATCATGCAAGAAAAGCGATAATATACATACCAGGAACAGTAACAACCAACAGTATGACACATATCAACAATTTGAAATAACTCATGTTCATGGTGCTTTGATATCTTTTCTCACTTGATGAATATCGGTTCTCCTCTTTTGAACTTCTTTAGGAAGACTCCTCTTTAAAATTTTAATCCACAAGGAATGAGATACCGAAGCTATTAAGTTGTTGGTTTATATAGGAAGAAAATAAGGGTATGAGGATTTGCGTTATTATGATTTTTGTTTAATCTTTTGGAAAGATTGCATGATTTCCATAAAGAAAAACAACAATATTTTAATTTTTAATGATTCCCTTGTGTAGAGCCTACACAAGATCTGATTACCTTACTTTTTTAGTTTTTTTCATTATTAACTTGCCTAGCTTAACAATTAGGTTTATGATACATTTAGAAAGGGAAATCTAAATATTACAAAAAAATTTGAATGTAAAATAAAATCAAAATTCAGTAATCCAAAAAATATTAGAAAGAAACGTAATCTGAATATTTGGTAAGAAATTTTGCATCAATATACGGTAAGAGTTACTAACTCTCTGCCGTGTACTTTTTTCCAATTCAAAATCTCTGCTCTCCCTTCATTTTCTGCGAGATATAACACTAATTGCTCCATTTCAGAAGTGTTCATAGTTCTTCACCAATGTACATTGAGAAAAATTGCCTAAACCTCGACTTCAGACACAATAGTTGAAGACAACGGGGACTGAGTTTCACAATCCATCAACCGAATGTCCAGTTGACTCCAATGACAAAATGATTAGTGCAAAGTAGATGGTTCAGCCTTACAACTTATAAGCAATTGGTTCAATTTCAAGGAGGAAGCAGAGGTAGGGGAGATAAATAGATGTAACTTGACAAAAAGGAAAGGCACCATAACCATTTTCTGGTTTCCAGTTTGCAGTGATTCAATGATATGGTAATCTAAGTGACATGCTCTAAATGGATAAGAATGCAGTGACGATGGCTATGGTAAGTAACTGGAAGAGCAAGTCTCTCGAGGAGCTGCTCGAGCTTGACTGCTTCGGATTGAAGAAGTCTTCGCTAGAAACCGAGGTATTCATTGATGACGAGCCTGAAAGAGGGGGTACGATCGAGGAGATCAGTCAGATATATTGTTCGAAAGGAAACTGAATTGGCATAAGGAAGGATGGAGATATCTTCACTTACAGTCGTAATCAACCCATCCAACCCGTTGACGAACCAAATCGTACACGAAAATCTTGTCCTTGATAACAAGATCTGCAATTGACAACAAATGGCAGTCAAAATCAGAACACTAAACAGGACAGTCTTTAACACCATTCTTGACTTGGTATTTACTGATGAAAGATACACAGGATCGAAGATTTTAGGGTCCCCAACCTCCTAAAATGGTTAGTCCTTGAAGCTTCCTAAAACCTATGCACCACATGCTGCCATCCTGTGTCAAGGAAGTATGAATGGCACATTGGCCTATGAGACTTGGCAGAGGGGAAAAACCATTGAATTCCATACATAGTATAACATCCTCGATAGCCAAGGTTTGAGCTGTGTCTACTTACGTCATAAAGAACAAGGTACTGCTCAGGTTTTAGTAGCATAGAAGCGCCGCCAACGAAGTTCAAGCTTACTGGAGGAAATAGCCTGCATATAAAGGTTCAAAACACATATGAGATATACCATAACCAAACCTAAGCATGAAAAACCAGTCTTTGTATTGTACAATGTCAAACCTGGAACTGATTGGGTAACAAAGGTACCCATTTTTCATTCTAGGAGTCCCGAATTTTGATACAGCAGCATTAACCTAAAATTCCAACGAGCCAATTAGTTTTACAGACACTAAAGAAAACTCCAAAGCGTTCAAAAGCATTCTCACACCATAGTTCTGAGGCCCGGGGAAGGACTGTTACTTACACTGTGGACAAATGGATCGTATGCTTCTTCAACAAGGTACGACAATGTTGTTCCGGTATCAATAAATGTTGCACGATCAGCCGATGGTGTAAAGGCTCGAGGATCAACTGGTACCGTCTGTCCATCAACTGCAATGCTCTCCAAGTGTAAGCTGTAATGGGGCCTGCAAGTGTGAAGATGAAGCTTTAGGCAATAAAGATTTCGTATTTCACAACCTAATTGAACAGTAACAACTCAGAGTTGCATAATATAGATGATGCTTACTGTGATGGGACGAGTGGGGTGTACACCATCCCTGGAGCTGTAATCTCTCCAAGTACAAAAACCCCACCTCCAGTTCCCTCTCCTTTCAAACAGTGGGAGAAAACTCGAGGTGTGATCCCTCTGTAATATAACTGAGAGAGAACGGACAGATTGCCTTTTCCAAATCCGAAAATGCCATCAACAGCTAGGGTTGTCTCAGCCAAGACACCGGACCGGTAGGTGCTGACACTGTATCCAAACAAGCATTCATCAAGGCTTCATCTAGTGACCTAATGCCACAAATTGGATCTACTTCTAATGTACAACATGATTGAAAGTGTTTGTTGACATTGAATTGGTGGTCATGCTAGACTTGATCAGTACATATGTTCTAAATTTTTATCACCAAATTAATACCTGCAACCATCAGAAATTGTAAGCTATATAGCCAGGTGAACTTTCTTCTTCAATATGAATCATCTAGCTATCCTACTAGTTACTAGTTGTATGCATAGCAACTAAACTTTGATATATCTGCTGTGTTTATCAATATTTATCAGTTGTAAGCATAAGAACTTACCCGAATAGGATTGCCGCTGAGGCATTAGGAGTAGTGGAGCCCGACGGAATCGATTCGAAGTGAAAAGTATCCGCCATGTAATTTCCTGATGTAGTCGCCCCATCCATATACTCCAATGCATAGCCACAGAGTTGGTCGTTCCTCGGACAACGCGATGCATTCCGTGGAGCAACTGCAGCACAAATCTTGTCCGAGCAAGAAATGGGCTTGGAAGTGGAAGACGCCGCCGCCTCATATGGATTGAGCTCGATCTACACAGTAAAGAATACATCATGAGTTGAATGACAACCTTAGAACAAATGAACAGTATAAACTCAATCAGAATCAAGTTAAAAAAACACAGAAAACAGAGCTCACCCCGAATCGGCTTGAGCGTGGACACGTCGGGCAGGACTTGGAGTTGAGCCAGGTTAGGTCACTCCCAGTATCAATCTGTAGATTGAATTCTCTGGCGGGAGTGCCTAATTTCACTTTTGTGAAATAAATTCTGTCCCATAAAACAAAACACGAGGATCAAATCAAAGGGTTGGGTGATGACTAAGGTAATTGACTGACAACAGAAGTGGTGAGCTCACAAGAACCCTAATTTTCTTTCTTCGTGCGAATGCACAGCAGAGAATAGAGACGGGTGGACTTGCAGATTAGGGTTTCGTGTCAAAGAAGGTATGTAGGAAGGAAGGAATGAACTCTGCAAAGTGGGCTTAAATTATTTCCGGCCCGCAGGCTATGTGCCTAAATGGGCCGTTTCCTTCCCTGGGCTTGGTAACAAAGATTAAACTATTTGTTTTCGAACCCACAATATCAGCGGCAAACACAAGTAAAATAAAATAGCATAAATTCCAATGAGAAAGAAATCAAGGCTGTGATTGGTTAGTTAAATAAATTAATTTAATTAATTGACTATGAGAGACCAACTAATTCGTGTGTGTTTTGATTTGTCTGTCATTTTGGCGCCAAAATTCCCTAGGCAACCACCATTACAGTCTTGAAGTTTCAGTAGAAAAACAGAGTACTAAGCCACCCACAAGCAAAAAAGATAGAGAAACATACCCGTAGTAGAAAGAATCGGCAGAGCCATATACAGAGAAGTTGACGAGGCCACTGAAGAGACGGGCGTGCCTGGCTCGGTCCCTAGCTTTGTGGTGCTCCACAGCAACAACGGAAGAATTAAGAGGAACCATTCTCTCCAGATGAAGAACAGTAGAGGCGGCGGCGGCGGCGAGGATCACCGCGGCAGTGATCAGAAATGCCATTCGAGAAGAAGTGTAAATTCTCATTTCTTAGGAACAGAGAAAGATAAAAACAGGGGAGTGTAGAGAACAGAGTAAGGTAAACAGTGTGAGGCTTGAACAGAAACAGGGGATTCGGAAAGGCGGACTAGAAAGAACAGATTTTTTTAACAGATTGTATCTGAAACTTAAAAGGACCGAAGGATTAACAATGGGAACTGATTGGTTCTTCTCGGAATTGTCTCTTGAAGGTTAAGGCTATAAAAAAGCAGATTACTGGAACAAAAACAAAGGAGGCAGAGAACAGGGGATGGATGAATAATGGTTGAAATTCTGGGAATGAGCAACGTTATGATTTTTGGGGCAAATTCGCACGCTTAATAACCAAATAAGGAGAATAGTAAGGGGGTTTCTTCTTCTTTTTCTCTTCTTTTCAGAGTTGCTGGTTTCTATAATAAGCGGAATCCCCAGGGGAAGGCAGAAAAGCTTGGAAAACAGACATCTCACCATCTTTGTTCCTTCTCACTAAGAACTGAAACTTCAACTTCTGTAAATGGCTTGTTTCTTTACTTTACGCAGCCCACTAGGGTTTGAAAGATAGAACAATTCCGGAATGGCGTACCCCATTGAATATGATCATCTCTTCCTTCTTCTTCTTCTTCACCTTTATTTGCAGTGTGCCTTCCCAATATTGCATTGCGTGGCTACTGATCACCATGACTGGCCATCCTTGAGAAACCAACCCATCACTGTATGTGTTTCTTTTATAGAAACCCAGAACGAGAGGGACGTTGAGAGAGCTACAGGCGAGCCATTTAAGGATGGAGGTTGGGGACTGGGATTGGAGGCATCTTTCAAAAAACTCATTAGCAAAAACGGCAATGAAATTTCATAATGCGACATAAGTAGCTAGCTTTTTACTATTAACATGCATTCGGGTAAGACATTATCTAGAAGGACCAACTTTCAGTCCTTTGTGTATATCTTTCAACTAATATTGTGGACTCACACAAGCATTACCTATTTAATAAGTGCAAGGAGATGCAACAACGCAGACAACAAAGAGAAGAACAATTAGCCATTGATCGGATTCTTGACGAGGAACGAAGAGATTAGTTGTAGAGTGGAAGAGTGTATCTGTATTACTTAGCAAATGGCAGCTACTGGAAACGGGGAAATGGTAGGAATGTTGGGCAGATGAAAGCATCAATTGAGAACGGAAAAAATACAGGAAAAGCAACAACAAAAACACTCTCGAGCTCAGATTCGCTCACATTTCGTCCGAAGATCAGACATCAGCGAGAGGACCACTCTCGCAAAGAGCGCAGAATTTCATCACAACCCGAAGTGCACCAGCAGGGAATCGAACCCGGGTCTGTACCGTGGCAGGGTACTATTCTACCACTAGACCACTGGTGCTTGTTGGATACGTTTCCTCACTTTTAATACCAATTCTATAAACATGTTTCATTTCCCAATTTCACCACCAATCCATCCAGTCCAGTAGAGGAAAGAGTGTGACACTGACAGAGCGAACGAAGCAAGGAGCTCCTGGACGTGCTGAAAAAGAGTTGAAGCGGGAAAATGTCGACTCCCATTTTCAAGGCATCAATTCCACTCTCCAATCCACTGTTCCACTCCCTGCATCCGGTTCCATGGACTTCAGCTGTAAATGGAATCTCCAAGAAGGAGAAGCTGCTGCTGCTTAGCGGAGCTCAACTCTCTCCGGTCAGCTTGCGTTATCCCCTTTCCAGTTTCCATTTCTTCGGCCCGAATTGCCATGTATTTTTCTACCGCTTCCCACGAGCAAACACGAATTCCCCCCCGGAGTTGCATCCAAATCGGCTACCGGAAAACCTTTTGGTCACGAGTAAATGTGCATAGCAAGTGATGGAAATATGTATGATCTAGTTTTTGGAGGTTGATCCAAATTCGTAAGGGCGGAAATGGGTAGGTTGCGTCTGGGATTTGAGTTCAGGTTACTTTCTGATAAAAACGTATCAATGGGATTTGCAGGTCAGAGGTAGCACTCTGTGTTGAACACTAGACAGTGGTAGTTAATTCTTTGTTCCAGACTGTTCGACATTGGATGATCTCGTCTTGTGCCCTGATGCTAATTCTTTTCACAGGTGGAACAGGGCGGGGAAAGATGCATTTTTCATAAGTAGCTACAATGGTGGAGTCCTTGCCATTGCTGATGGTGTCTCAGGGTAACCTAATTGAAACTGACTAGTTGCACTGTTCCGCTTTCCCTTTAGTTTCGTTCTGCTAGAGCTGGAAGTTGATATGCTTTTTTAGTATCATTAAAATGCAAACCAATTGTTATTGCTTTTCGGTTGGGCTGAAGAGGATGTCTTTTTTTCTCGGGAACTGATTGCAATGCTTTCTGGTTTCGTGCCAGATGAATGAGGTAGCACTATCATATTAGCATTGCAGTAATGTGCAGAGGGAAGTAACTAGAGAGATTTAGGGGCTGAATGCTTGTTGCCTTTTCGTTGTAAGACTCCTTGAGGCATTGGTTTTAATCTAGAGCAGGTCAACTACGATTCCCAAGTTCTCTCGTCAGGAAAGCACATGCTGCTACCTCCTCAATCGACTCAGCTACCGTGTAAAGTCCTGTTCTTTGTCTTGGTTGCTGCAGAGGCACCTGATCCTGCATTACTTGTCATAATCATTTTTTGGTCATTCAGGATTGTGGCTATGCTGGAGGGAAATGGAATGCTGAAGTTCGCAAATGTTGGAGATCGTGGGCTAAAGCTTATCCGTGAAGGTATTAATCTTGATTCTGAGGTTGGTGTTCCCCGCATCATTCTATTTGGCATCCCTTTCCTTTTTGTCATTCATTTATTCTAAACAATTGAGGGCGGATCGTACGATTTATTTGAATTACAGGGCAATTAATATTCTCCACTTCTCCACAAGAACACTATTTTGATTGTCCATACCAATTTAGTTCAGAAACTGTAGGCCAGACATATCTCGATGCTATGATATGTTCATTCATATTGCTGCAGCAATAATCTTTTGATTTTCTATGTTTAGATGATGTCGAAGAACTTCCTTTCGCAAAGGTTAGCGGTCTAGAAGGGATTGATGTCGATTATCATTGTGATGGGGTCTGATGTCCTTTTCGACAATGTGTTTGATCATGAGATTGTTTCCATGATATGCCAACATTGAAATGCTAGTGATGCTGGCAAGTTATTTATTGTAATTTAGATGTGTTACTTTCTTCTCTATTTTTACTAAATGACTGTGGTAATAACTTTGACCATTGCAATGGTAGCAGAGGTTCTGGCTAACTTAGCGAGAGTACATTCACTGGATTCGAGCTACGAGTCACCCTATGCATTGGAAGCCAGGTCCAAGGTGACCATCAGACAAACTTCCAAAATTTGTTCACATCTATATGACTACATACATAGTTGACCTGTATATAGAATGTTGAAACATTTCATCTCTTGGCAGGGTATTGAGTTACCATGGTGGAAAAAGATCTTTGGCATGCAACCTACAGGCACGGCAGACCTTTTGCTTTTCCTACTTCAACATTTATGGGGTGTTTGACGATATTACTGTGATAGTCGGCTAGATTTGTAAGTCTGTAGTAGATGAGGGATCTTGGATTCAGAGAAACAGACCTATAGCGCTTCGAGCAAATCACTTCAATTTGTAGTTGGATTCGAAGGGAGTTGGGACTTTTCAAAGTTCGGCTCAGTTATATTCATTATTGTTCAGACCACTTGTATGCTCACAACAATTGAACCTGAGATGATGTTCTGTAATCCATGGCACTGAAGCATTTCATATCAATACAGATTGTCAATTCAGTAGCATTTGCAAGAACTTCACATAGGCAGATGCTGGCATATGGAACTGGAAATGCTCACTTTCTTTATTGTACATGCTGCTACAAGCTCCAATTAAAGCCAGTATACAAAGTCTTACCAACTTCCAGAACATCAGCAATAACAGGAAACAGAACTACCAAATCAAACTTTGATAGATAAGAACATTATGTCCGAAGATCAGACGGCAGTGAGAGGACCACTCCCACAGAGAACGCAGAATTCATCATAACTCGATGTGCACCAGCCGGGAAGCGAACCCGAATATGTACCGTGGCAGGGTACTATTCTACCACTAGACCACTCTTGCTGCTGTTGTTTTCATTGAAATTTAGTGCTACTGAGATAATATCTACTCATACCTTGAACTCCTATTTTATACATTGAAATGGACCAAAGTTTTACGTGTCCTTTGATTGTTGGATTTGAAAAAATTAAAGTTATAACTTATAACCCTCAACCCACACACTAACCAACTGTAGCTTCCATCGCACACATGATCTGACAGTTCCTCATAATTTGGAATTGGGCTAGGCCAGCAAGTAAACCCAGAGTGGAACACCCTCCGATTCATTCAAACCGTTCGATCACCAAAGACATTAGCTCTCTCTAAAAAAATTCTGAGTAGACAATAAGAAAGCTCCAACAAGACAATATCCAGGTTACTCATATGTACAGCACGTAACATCATGCATGATTACAATGGATGGCTACTTTACATCATGCATGATAACAGTGAACCGGTAGCAAAAGCCACTTTTCCATCTCATTAGAAACAGAAATCTACTTTTATACTTATAGTTCTAGACAGTATTGTACAGCACAACAAACAACCGTTGCCCCTTCACACTGGCTGCGCCGACAACAAAAAATCTGGCAGCATTCTCTGCAACAAAATCCCACAAAATGGGCAGAAGGGTCTTGGGGACTTCTCAACTGCAGAAGCTTCTTTCCAGGAACTGAAATCCGTAGGAAACCTAGGCATCTTAAACAGATATTCAGGAGCCAGCTTGTGCACCTTCCTGCGACAACATATGCAGAACCAAGAAGGACTCGCGGGACAAACCTGCATTGACACTGCACATCTAGGCACTTCATGTTTCTCCATGTCTCCCTTGATGCTCTCTGCACCTTGGCAAGTTGCATGCTCCGGAGACTCAAAAGGAACTGAGGCTGTACAAAAGATGCACTGCTCTGTTGCAGCATTACTGTCACCGCCCATCCTGTTTGTAGTCAGCAAAATGCGCATACATTGATTCAGCAGGCAAACACTTACCCCAATTGCATGCTATTTCGTGAGTGTAATGTAACAACAGTGTCTCGTCAATGCATATGTATAAGAAACCGTACTAAAAATCTGAAAGAGACGCGGGATCCCACTTCACTAAAATTAGTTTTTTTTTTAATAATCATTTCATATCCCTGATATTTGAGATTGTATCATTTTGATGAATTTCAAAATGCATGTGTTTTATTCAGATGTATGGTATTACAAATATGGCTGTCCCCAAATACCAAAACCAAGTACCTGATGATATATATGAAGCTTTTAAGGAGGAAAGGAGTTACCTTGTATGCTTCTGAGCTTCTGATGCAAGGACCTTGAGTTGATTCCTCACGTGAGCATGGTTAAATACAACCCATTGCTCCATCTGCATGACTCCCAATGGAGACCAAGTTTCAGGCTGTAAGGAAGTTTTAGCTGCCGAGTGAGACCCACCGGAAACAGCAGCAAAGCTAAGTCCCACAAGCCTCTCTCGGAGTTCTCTTTCACTTCCTAGCAGTGTTCGCAAACCAAGCTCAAGTGTCTCATTTCTGACACTGGTAGTGTCAGTGGTGACACTGGAGTTGAGTTCCCCGGCCTTCATCTCAGACAGAATTATTCGTCTGGTCATGATATTTAAAAGGTGCAAGAGGCGAGATGGGACTTCTGAGAAGCACTTTGAGGAAAGCGCCAGCACCTCGCCAAGGGGACGATAATCTGTGTTCTGACCACCCAAGAATGCTGTGGATAGCCATCTACCCAGTAAATAGTCGACATACTTGGGAATCGAATCTTTGAAAACCAAAAGAGCTGTTATGATATCCCATACTACTAAAGAGTTATTTGGATCTTCGTACTGCTTCAATGACCATAGGATGTTGGATTCCCAGCAGGCCAATTCGTTTGGGGTGAATCCGGGAAATGATTCTTTGTAAGAGTCTATTGAAGTGTTGGTCGTGGTGCTCTCCACTGGTTGTCCACCGATCCACAAAAATTCAACTACAGCCTTCTGAGCCCTGCAAGTTTTTCAGGAAATAGAAAGTGGGACTTATTTTGAGTGGTCTTCCATTATGATCACATTGGTTTTTATACTTGATTGCAAACTAATCAAGTTATTCAAACTTACCTTGCCTCGTACATTTGGCCCAATAGCTCAACATCAAGATCACGGACCTGCCAGAAGTAAGAACCTAGTAATTAACTTAAGTTTGAAATGACTAAAACTTCATTGAGAGAATAAAACGTGGGAGAATACTCTTACCATTGCAACCATGAGATTTCCAGGTGATGCTACAACGCCCAGGCATGAACGCAAAGCATCAGGAACCTGCAAAAGAAAGCTCATTGTTTTCTCAAGGGAAAAAAGGGATTCCGATAGAAAAGGACACAGGGAAGTTAGCAAATCACCCACTTCATGTGAACCGGTTTGACCAGGAATGTTCGAGGGGATGGACACTTCGGAGAGGCATCCCCCACATAAGATCCAGCTACGTAAATAGTTGTCCTGGAACATGTTGAAAGTTGGAGTGTTAACAATCTGTCACATAATAACAATAGGGTCAATTTTGCTAGTTTGTCCATTTCTATGAATGATGTTACCTGGCCACAGCTGTACAAAGAAAGTCCATCTGAAGACCAACACAAACCTGTAACCTGATGCATCCTTTCTAGTGTAAGTTATGGTTGAGAGAACCGAGAGAGATGGAGAGAGAGGAACAGATTTAGAGTACATACAGCATAGTCATGAGCATCATGACATCCAGCTTTGTCAAGTTTGAAGTTTGATGTGTCACATGTCCAAATTTCGAAAGACCCTGATCCTTTGCCAACTGCTATACGCATTTTATCCACAGGTTGAGCAGGTAGCAGCACCGAAAGAACCGAAATTGGGACAATATTTACACGAATAACCTATTGGAAGGATAATGTTAGTACTGAAGCCCAACATTAATTCAAATGAATATAAACAGTTACAACCAGACTGCAAACAGCTACCTCCTTTACTAGGACAAAGGGAGCTGCTTTACTAGCTTCTGATAACTTACTAAGTTCTTCCACATTCCCCAGCCACAACTTCACACTGAAGATGAAAAAGGAGAAAAAAGAATTCAGTCCTCATTGTAGCATTCTGAACTATACTTGGGTGTCTTGTTTACCTTTAACTCACCTTCCGTCTGTACTGCCAGTAACCATTACAACCCGGGGCTCACTGTTTGAAACAAGTAATTCCAAACTCACTGCAGTTACCCATGAAGTATGTGCCTGAAGAAGCCCAAGAAACAGTACACCAGTAGGGGCTTTACATTGCTCAATTGAATAGCATTGAGGTGCACTAATTCTCCAGAATGAAATTTTACCCGACTTCCCTCCAACAGCAAGAATAGAATATTTCTGGAATGGATCATCTGAAGATGGGAAACTTTGGTTTGATGGTGAACACAATAATGGAGACCATGTAACCACAAGTGAGGAAAGCAGTGCACTACGAGCAGCATACTCCTTTGAAATTAAAAGCGGAAATGTACAGCTTCCCATTTTATTCTTTCCCAGCTTGGCGAGCTTCGTCTGCGCACATAAGCAAATTAGTCCCCATGCAGAAATGCCAATATGGCAATATTGCTTGAAGCATAATGACTGGTGAAAACAAGGAGAAGGGTATGGTAAAGAATCTGATTTCGGAAAGCTTACCTTGGGCGATTTCTTGCTATCCAATATTCTGAGATGGGTGGGTTTAGGGCTAGTAATCTCAGCATGGCTAGGTACTGATAATTGTTGCTCAAAACTATCAGCATGGCTGTTTCTGCAGCAGCATCATGTAAAACAACACAATGGAGAGACAAGCTATTATGAGATATGCGTACAAACATTTCAGCAAATTATATCTGAAAAATTCAAATATGAGATGTGCAAACAATAAAAAAACATACTATGGTAAGAGCAAACAGCGTAAGAGACAAGAACAAGCAGTTTTACATCTGAGCAGCAACGGTAACTCGTCTCCGCTTGTATTGCTTCAATACAACAGGCTTGAGTATCTTGCCAGTTGACGAATTGGCCATATCATCCTCAGCAGATTTTCCCTTTGACCCTCCATTCTGACATGCATAAATGGATATGAGACTCACCTTTCATTACTCAAGACATACATGACCATGCCAAAAAATGAAAAACCATAACAACATGTAGTAAGAGAAGCCCTTAGAACTCACAGAAGGAATTTCTGAAGTAGAGATGTCTATCTCCACAAAGTTAATCTTTGCAAGATGATCATACAGCATGTCTGATATATCAGCAACCTAATATGAATTTGCAAAAAAAGAATTGGTATTCTGATTCAGAAGGCATACAAAAATTTGCAATCAACCCATTAAAAATGGAATACCACTGAAAGCTTACCTCTATCCAGTTGGTGCTGTAATCACAAAAGGGAGGGCGATAGACCTTCACACATCCTTCGAATGTACAAACTGCAAGCAAACAGCTGAAAAACAAAACAGGTCTGAAGCTATTCTAGTCACATCAAAGGAAAGGTGTAATTGGAGGTACATACCCATAATTAGGAGACATTCCAAGAGAAGACCAAGCAATTGACCTAGCACAGGGTTTTCGATCCCTCGATAAAGCAGTGGGCAGCAGGTCACCGGAGAGCAAATCTGCAGACCAGGCAAGCAACCACCAGTTAGCGGGAACGTCTTAACAGAAACCCTTTGGCGGAAATTTTGGAAGAAAGAAGAAAAAGGGAGAAAAGGTACCTTCTTTTTCAACTCTGCCAATGGGGTAATGTTTTCCGGTAGGAACCGCGATAGTGCCGCGAGGTTCAATTGGCGAAGCTGGATTCTGGGTAGAGAAAACAAAAACACCAGACGGAATCAGCTAAAGAACAAACAAAATTGCGACGACTGGGACAGCAAGGAGTTAGCAGAAAGGAGGTTACCAGAATGGTGACAATGTGGCCGGAAGCGACTGCGATCAAGTTCTCGTCAGACCAAGCAATGGCGTTGGGGCAGGAAGGGGCACCGACCAAGGAAGCCGCTTGAAATCTGGAAGCCACCATTGGGTTTCTCTACTTCCTCTGCTGATCTGAAAAAAATGAGGAGAAAGAGAGGATAAGGCGGTTGGGGAGTAGGGACTTCAGAGAGTGAAGCAGAGAAGGGAGGGTTGTTGAGTTTTTCAGTTGGTGGAGGATTTCGTTAGCGTCGGGAGGAGGGAATTTGAAGTTCTGTATATTTATGGTTATGGAGGGAATAGAGAGGGAGAATTGATGAATCGCAGAGGGAGGGAGGGAGACAAAGATCGCGAGGTCGATTCTCCGAGGAAGCAATTAATTTAAGCACACAGAGAAGAACTGAAGAAGAGAACCGAGGAGTGGAATTTGGGGTCGAATGCGGGTTTTCTTAAGTCTAGGATTTTGCCCACAATCCCACGATTTTTAAGTCTGGGTTTTCGATGAGAAACTGCAAAATACAGTTTTACCCTTCGACTTGTCCCAGATGGTACCTCTGCCGCGAGGGAACTTGCAGCAGACGGTGGGTTGATGTAGGCGGCGGCAGGTGATGAAATCAGTGAGAGAGAGATCATAGACCAGGCCAAGGACCGAGGGAGCTTGCAGGCGGCAGGTTGCTGCTGCTGCTGACGGCGGCGGATGATAAAAATCGGAGAGAAGAGACCGGGACCAAACCTTCGACTGGCTTGCAAGCGGCGGATTGCTTCAGTCGGCGTCCTCACCGGAAATCAAGCACGGCGAAAGTCATCTGCCTGAGCTTGAGCCTCTGCCGGCGTATCCAATCTTCGTCGAGCTAGGAAACGATGATTGCCGTGTTCGGATTTTGAGGGGATGAATGATCGAGAGACGGCAGAGGGAAGAAGGGATGTCCGATGGTGTGAAAGGTAGGGGTAGGCTTGGGATTTAATAAAATTGGGAGGGACAAAATTGGAAGAAAATAGCTGATTCCCATTATCTATTTTGAAAAACTTGCATTTGAGAAATTACAAAATCCCTAACAGCCAAAATTCATTATCTTTCCAAACACAGTATTGTTTCAAAATCCTGCATAATTAGGGATTGTTTAAAAATCTCTTATAAATCTCTCAATGGATCCAAATGACCCCTTAAATTGTCTTTCTAGGATTTATTTTTATAAGGGTATCTTTCTATTCTAACTTTATTGGCAGATAATGACTGGCTGGAGCCGTGGTAACAGTAAACCTGATTGGCGATATGTCTTAAATTTCCAAGAGCAATTGGGTAGGGTGTTGCAACCGTTTGGTTTGTATTGGATAACACTGAACTAAACTGATATTTGGATCGATTCGTATCAAATCGAGTATAATGCAGACTGGTCTTTGATTTTATGAATTTTACAAGTAATGAAAAAAATGAATGAGTAAATATTTGGACCGGATAAATACAATGATGGTATGGTTCTTTGTCATAAGATATCTTTTATTATTGGACCATGCTCATGGTTTGGTCATGTTCATACCAATTTGATTTTCTGTTGAATCTACCAATGTATTGGTTCAATGTTCGATAATGACTTTTTTCAGTTAGTGGTTAACCACTAATCAGTAGTTCGATTTAAATTAGTAGTTAACCGCCAACGAACATCAAAACCATGTCGTTTTAGTTGGCCCTTTCCCCTTTGTGAATTGTGAATTCTGAAACCAAAAGACAACTCTAATCCCTAAACCGTCTCCCATCTTCCTCACTTCCCCTTTCTACTCCCATTCCTCTGGAGCAACTGCCACGAGTCCTTGCTCCCCTGACTTGCTTCGCACCGGCAATCACAGTTGTCGCCAGACTCGCGAGCTCCGCTTCCCCAACGCTGCAAATGCCCATGTTCTCCTTCTCCTCTGATAGAACCTGAGATTAGGGTTCTATCGGGAATTGAGATTTAGAGATTAAGAACAGAATTACAGATTTGAGAAGAGAAAGATAGAGAATCGGCCTAGGCCTTTAGAGGGATTGAGATATAGAATTGAGAGGATTGGGAGATTAGGGTTTAGGAGAGTTTTCTTAATATTCTTCTTGACTGATTCTGAATAAAACGCAAAGTACATATTTATAACGAAAGACTGGAAAAACCTAATAGACTATCCTAATATGACTCAATAACTACTAACCATATCTAATAATATTCTAATTATAGTAACTATGATAATTATGATAGAACCCGAATTTTGGGTTTTCATCATCCCCTTCCCCTTTATACCAGCCTTGTTCTCAAGGTTGCAGTCAATTTTCGTCTTTTTGACCTCTCTCTTTCTCCTTTTCCAATGCGGCTCCAGCTCACGAATGACTTCTTCTTCGACATCTCCGGCTTTCTTCAACCCTTCTCGGACCATGTGACACTTGTCGCGTTCTCCATAGTTGGACAAATCCTCCTCCTCCTCCTTATCAAAGTCCACAAAATAAGAGTTCGAGAACTCTCCTTCATGCAAATTTGGGCTAAACTCCTTTCCACCTAAACATTTAAACTCTAAGCCCAATTCCCTCCAAAGGCAGCCCATATTGGGCTCAATCTGCCTCCTGAAACTCGGCCCACCTTGCTGAATTGGCCAAGCTAGGATGAGCCGAACGAGCTCCATATCAAAATTTCTTCCAAACACCTCCTTAGCAAATGGGCTCACGGATCTCAGCCCAACTTTCCCCATCTCTCTTCAGCTTCCGCCTGTTCATTCTCCAATCCAATATGCTGGGCCAACTCAAATCGGCCTAAGGAGAAAATTTGTTGTTGTGGCGTTCCCCAGCCCAAAGTTAGCGACCTAGGTTTCGTGAGAAGAGGAACCCAGCCGCCACCAACCTCCTCCGCCGTCTTCTTCTTGGCTACGCCGTCCGCCATCACCGACGGTTCTTGCTTCCCCACCTCCGGCGACGCAACCCGGCCTGCCGCCGCCTCGAACCTCCTCGTTTCCTCCTCCAGCAGGTCTCCTCCGCCACTTCCTCTCCCGACTGCCACAGGCAGAACACATTCCACCCGTGGTGTGGAGACCGCCGCCTCACCTGCCCTCGCCGCCACAACGCGCTCCCCCACGTCGACGCCCTCGGTCGCCTCCTCTGCCTCGGGCTGCGCCGCCCTGCCCCGCGGCGCGACCCCCTCCGTGCGACGCGCCTACGCCTCCGCCGCCACCCCTCCTGCCTCCGTCGCTAGGCGTGCCCCTGCAGCAGCGCCTTCGGCAGCCTTCACCGCTGTTGTAGCCGCCGCCACCACCCACCCCCGCTCCCGCTCCCGCGCCTCTCGATCGAGCGCGTCGAGTGATCTTTGAAGCTGTTGTTTGAGTTGAGCCCATTGCGGATCAGAGAGCTTTGACGAGCTCATGTTGGCTCTGATACCAAATGATAGAACCTGAGATTAGGGTTCTATCAGGAATTGGGATTTAGGGATTAAGAATATAATTAGAGATTTGAGAAGAGAAAGATAGAGAATCGGCCTAGGCCTTTAGAGGGATTGAAATCTAGAATTGAGAGGATTGGGAGATTAGGATTTAGGAGAGTTTTCTTAATATTCTTCTTGACTGATTCTGAATAAAACGCAAAGTACATATTTATAATGAAAGACTAGAAAAACCTAATAGACTATCCTAATATGACTCAATAACTACTAACCATATCTAATAATATCCTAATTATAGATTTATAGTACCTATGATAATTATGATAGAACCCGGATTTTGGGTTTTCATCATCCTCACTCCTTTGTGGCATGACGGTTGTAATATGTTACAAAAAAGTATTTAAACGAAATGAATGTCTAGGATCGTACTTTCGCAGGGTCTCTAACAATGTCTCAACTTTAGATGAATTACTAGTGTTTCGAGTTTTGAAGGGGATTTGAGGTGCCCCTAGTGTCGTTTCTACTAAACTAAACAAAGAGCAGAGAGGTTAGGAGCATAAGCAGAAAGCAGAAAGCAGAAAGTAGTATACGCAATAACTAAAGGTTTTAGGAAAGCATGCAATCAAGGTGTTATCTAGGGTAGTTTTATCTAGAGTAGCCAACTACAGTTATAACTAACGACCTACCTAGTTTGGGTTGGTTGATTTGGGTTTAACCTACTTCAATATCCTAGGGACATAATCCAGTTGCGTGGTCTCCTCTTGAAATAGAATTAAGGGTTAATACCTTATTCTGGCCCGAACTATGACCATATAATCAACTTTGGCCAATGGTTTGAGAAATTAACATCCTGGCCCGAACTTTGCAGCATATAGACTCAATTGGCCGAAAACATGGTTTGACCGTTTGTTTGGACGGTCAATACCATTGACCGTTAGTCAACTGTACAGGTCACCGCCATGTCAACACCAAAGGAAAAAATTTATAATTTCAATTTTTTTATTATTTTCTTTACCTAATTAAAAAAAACAAAAAAATTGGCCACCCCTCAGCCTCTTTCCTTCTTCGACCATAACCAAAAAAATTCCTAATACTAATCATTCTTCTTCTCCCTTCTTCCCCGACGAGCATCATTCTCCCTAATTCAAATGAGCCATTGGAAGCACCCACCATATTTCCCAGGAAGGTCTTCCCTTTGAAGATCGCTTCCACCTTCAAGGCCAGCCGACAAAGCTCCACTAGCGCCTCCCTCACCGCGTTGCTGTCGTAGAACACCCGTTGCAGCTCGTCGAGAAACCTGAACATCGTCGCGAACTCGCCGTCCTACCGAATGGAGTCGGGAACGGGACCGGCCAACTGGTTCCTGCCAAGCAGTGCGAGGCTGAGCATTTTCAAATTCCCGAAATCGGTGGGGATTCGTCCGTAGATCTGGTTGTTGTTCAGTTCGAGATGATTCAAGCACTCCAATTTCGAAATCGAGGCTGGGATTTCCTTCTGTTGTCGGCGAGATTGAGTACCACGAGGCGGCCGAGGTTGCCGATTTGGGAGGGGATCTGGCCGGAATTGCTATTGCCGACGAGATCCAGGACGCGGAGGTTCGAGAGCGAAGAGACGCAGTCGGGGATCTCGCCAGAGAGGCTCTTCCAGTCAGCGACGATGAGCGTGGGTAGCTGGTCAAGCTTGCAGATGGCGGGGAAATGGTCCTGGTCATGTAGCCGGAGGTCTTCCCGACTTTTGTGAGGATTGAATCCTCCGACTCGCCACGGAGGTTGATTTCGGTGACGCGGCCAGTGGCGGGGTCGCAGCTGACGCCGAAGTAGTTGGTGAATCAGAAACGAAGAAGAGGGAGCTAGGGTATTGCATACCGAGAGTGTGGGCTGAGGGTTGGGAAAGGGATCGTCGGGGAAGAAGGGTTGGGTAACGATAAGGCTGTGTGGGCTGAATGAGGAGAGAGAGAGAGAGAATGGGAATTTATGTTATTTTATTATTTTATTAAATTATTATTTTCCACATGGCATCCACGTCAGCGTAGCATGGTGATTCACTAACGGTCAATGATTTTGACCGTCTAATTTGACGGAAATTCACGAGTCAGGCCAATTAAGTCTATAGGTGCATAGTTGAGGCCAGGATGTTAATTTTTGAAACCACGTGCCAAAGTTGATTATATGGTCATAGTTTGGGCCAAAATAAGGTATTAACCCTAGAATTAATTGAAAGGACTTTTGCACGAGGTCTCGTCATACACAAGTAAGTTATTAAGGACGTATATCACAAGTAGCATATTGATAAAACTCGAGCAATCTCTTGACTTGATGATATAGTGATTGTCCAGGGGCTCAAGATAGGGCGAGTAACCTTAGGGTGAGTAACAATGAGTAACCAAATCTGGACCCTTCTTTTAAGTGACTGCAGATCTAAGGGTGGAGAATTAAAGGAATTTATTTTCCGTAGTTTTCTTAATTGGATCATATCTTCTTCATTCTAACTCGGATTTCAATTTTTTTTGCACAGATGGAACGAGTTCGTTGTGCTCTACAAAATGATATCCAATTTCAATATTTTTTGAGAAAATTATTTTTCATCCCTCTCGTTACCAACTCCATACCATATGGTATCTCCTTCGTTGTTTAGTTATTTTCGGAAATTTTTGCACAAAAGGAACGATTTAATCATGATCTATTGGATTTCAAAATTTTATGGAGGAAAAAAGTTCGAACCTCTCATTACCAACTCCATACCATACTATACCACCTTGGTATGAGGTGGTATTTTTCATACCATATGGTATACTGTTATTTAATACCATATGGTATTGACTGGTATTAAATAACAGCACTGTTATTTAATACCAGTGAATATCATATGGTATAGACTGGTAATAATTGACAAACTTTTTTTGTTCCAAAAAATATCAAAATGGATATCATTTTGAAGAGCACAATTAATCTGATCTAACTGTGCAAAAAAAAATTAAATTTTGAGTTAAATCAAATGAGAAATCGTCCGTGAAAGATTAAAGGAAAGAAAATTAATGATTTTTCCAGGATAGAGAAGGAGGCGCTGATGTGGCATATTCTTATTGGGTTATGCATGAGGTTACTCACCAGAAGATTACTCACCGGATCTACTCCCTTGTCCAGGGAACTTGGGCTAGTCAAACCTTGAAAAAAAAAATTACAGTTACATGTGTGTGGTCTCATCAAACATACATAAGTCATTGTAAGAATCACACACATATATATATATATATATATATATATATATATATATATATATATATATGGTGCCTTCTACTGTACCCCGAGTGAAATCCGGGGTACCGCATACCTTGAGTATGAAAACGATATCTAGACCTCGAATTAGCAGGATTTTTGGGTCTGATACTATACCCTAACCCTTAATGAGTGAACCCTAGGTCCTAATTATCTAAATCATAATCTATAAACCCTAAGATGGTGCATTCCTTTTTGTGCCTATATTTGGATGAATCATAACCATCGATTATTGTTTCTAATTCAATTGATCATGGAATATAAGATTGGGAGAATTAAGACCTAGATTTTGATCTTTAAGGGCTAGAGTATAGTATCATGTCCGAAAGATCGGTCAATTCAAGGTCTAGATAGTGTTTTCATACTCAAGGTATGCAATACCCTGGATTTTACCCAGGGTACCATAGAACTCACCATATATATATATATATATATAGACTTCTACGGTGCCCAGGGCAAAACCCGGGTACGGGTGCCTTGGCCGATCTTAACCGTTCGTTTTCAATCTCCACGGCTCACGTTTGTTAAACCTAGCTGCGCCACTAAATAACTAAACAAATTACAAATTGCCTCCTCCGCGTTAAGTTAGTTTTCATCCTAGTCCAACTAACTGCCCCGGTTAAATTAAATGGATTAAGACACAAACCCAATTGGGTAGACCCACTGCCGCCCAAACCAATTTCCAGTCTCCCTAACCAATTACACGATCCCTCTCTCGTCTTGGAGGGACGCCCCTTCACAGTTCCAAGAGAAGCTCCCCATCCACATTCGACGTAGATTGAATTTCCCAAAATAATTTTGTCTTGTTTCTTCTTCGCCATTGTATTTCCCCTCGCCTATCTCTTTCTAACACGATTACGGCGACCATGTCTATTATTGTGTTCATCGAACTTTTCATTTGGAAAAGAACCCTTGAAAGAGGTTTGCTAACCCTAGGGTTCATGTCACTAGTGCTTTGTCATCTTGTCTTAGCGTTATTGTGATTATATCTCTCGGTGAAATTAAGGTTTCCTGATATGCAGTGTTCGTCTCGCCCAGAGGATTGAGGAAGGAGATGAAGAAGACCTAATTTGATTCGAATCAGATGGAGAGGTCTCCTTAATTTGTGTTTATGTATTAACGGTGCGTTTAGGACTAATTCTAGTTGGACTGGGTCTGATCATTGATTTTTGCAGGCTTTTAAATAACATTCAAATGTGGGCTTGTACATGACCCATGAAATATTCAAAAGTGGGCCTGGAACGTGCGAGCCCATTAGTTTTCTCCTGCGGTATCAGCGCCAACCCTAGTTTAACTAGATTTAGTTACCCTAGTTTAACCTACACGAGTTAACATCATCATTACTACATATCTTCCCAAATCTTCTAACTCTTGACATTCCAGACTCAACCGTCTCCATCACACGTCTCCACACTCAACCCCCACTTTTTCTTACACCTACAATCTCTCTTTCCCTACAATCTCTCTTTCCTCCATCTTCACCTTCCCTTGTTCCTTCTTCCTCTGACTCCATGGCAAACATGGGCATTCTAACTCTATCAAACGACGACTGCCGAACCACCACAAGTCTCGCGGACTATCTTTCATTCACGAGCAAGACATCTATTGTGGCCGAGTACGAGTTCATCAACCTGAGTCCTTTCCCTCAAGAAGTTAAGAAGTTAATTAAAAATCTTGGCTGGGAAAAGTTCTTCGATCTCCGGAGTCGAGGAAGCACCAGTTACTGCCCGCATGTGGTGAGGAAGTTCTACCACAATTTAGAGCTGTCTGGTCCCTCCGATTCTCATCTCGTGTCGATCTTCCTGGGTCATAGAGTCTGCTTCCAGCCTCATCAGTTTGCTGAGATCCTCGATCTCCCCGCCGCAGGACACCACATTGATAGCAGAAGCGATCTTCGGCGGCTGTACGATTTTGATTTTGAAGTTGAACTGGGGAAACTGACGAATGGGCGCATCCAGGCTTCTTACCTCCCAGATCCTCTTCGATTCCTCCATTGGATGATCGTCAACTGCTTCATGCCAAGGTACAGAGGTCATTCGATAATTCGTACACTTGACCTGTTTATCCTTGTGCAAGCTCAAAGAGGTGTTCCTCTTAACCTCGCATCTCTCATGTGCGTGAACATGGTTGAGGCGGCTCCTAGAGGGGAAAACTGGTACACTGCCTTTCCATATGCCACCTTCTTGACCACCTTTCTTGGAAGGGTTGGGATGGATATGGGGGTTTATGCTAGGGAGGACCATTCCGCCTATTTGCCAGTCTATCGTATCGTCGAAGTGACCAATACTTTTTATGAACTTCGGCATACGGAGCATGAAGAGACCCCTGAGGCATCCTCAAGCAAACGTCCTCGGCTTACATGAGAGTCGATTGATGCAGGGCGGGGTGGAGCAGTGCAGGGCGGGATGGAGCAGTGAAGGGGCCAGCATTGGATGTGTTTTGTTAAGAAGTTTACTGTAAGGCTTCGTTGTTTTTTTTTTCCAGTCTTTTTCTCCAGCACTCAAAACTGTCAGGTACTGAGGGGAGCCAGTACATCATCTGACTAGGAAAGTCTCCCATTTTTTTAATTATCCAGACAAATATTTTTCTATGCATGCAGTATTTTGTGAATTTGCCATGGCTAATTTCCCTAAGACAGGTGACGAGATGCAGTAATGGTCATCCCTAAGCAAGGAGGTGCAATTGCATCCTACACTTGCTATGATGTGAGAAGCTATTGCAAGGGTGCAAATTTGGTTGCAATTGAAATTGGCCCACGAGTGGGGACTATTGATGAAATTGCAATGTTTTCTCAAAATTATAGAAGTGGAAGTAGGGACTACCTATGAAATTGCAAATGAATTTCATTGGGGGAGATTTTAATCCGCTTTTGTTCTAAGCAGTTCCAATTAGGTTGATTATAATGATTTTTTATCTATGGTGATTTTTTCCCCCTTTTTCATCAAGACTCATGCTTCTTTTATCCCCCTGTGGATCTATCATGCTTCGTTTATAGTAAAATATCCTTTTAATTATACACAATAAAGAATCCATTAATTATGTATGCCTTTTTATTGTATTTATTACTACAATGAATTCTCTGACTAAAAGGGGAGTGAAAACATCGTTGGTGGAAATTCAAGGAATGGAATGATAAGGGCTGTGCATAAATTCAATTTCTGTAAATAATTAATTTTATTATTATTAGTTAGTAACGTCATTAGTTTTAGTTAGTGGGTTAGTGGCTCCTACTTTGTAGCTTCAATCTGTTCAAGAGTTGGTACTTAAGCCACTCTCCTCATCAATGTAAATCACTACTTTCAATCCTTTACATGGAAGCCTTTCCATATCCTAGGAACATTAAATTAATTACATAAGAATTTTCTATCTGCCTTGTACTGGGTTTGGTCATTATTTATACTGATTGGGAGCCAATCAGTTTTACCTTTTGGGTTACCTATACATGAATGCAAATTTAATTATACGATTGGGAGCCAATCAGTTTAACTATACATGATCCCAATTAAACCTCTCTACAAGATACAATGGCT